ACATTCTCTTGTATAGTTAAAAAGCAGCTCTAGGCTTGGTGTGGTGGCACATCCTGTAATCCCAGTGGCTCAGGAGGCTGAGGTGGGAGGATGGCGAGTTCAAAGCCAGCCTCAGCAAAAGTGAGGCCTTAAGCAACTCAGTGAGACCCTGTCTCTAAATAAAATATAAAATAGGGCTGGGGATGTGGCTCTATGATTGAGTGCCCCTGCATTCCATCCCTGGTACCCCCCCCCCCAACCAAATCAGCTCTAGGTTCCTAATAATACCTAGTATAATGTAAATAGTTGTTACACTGTTGTGAGAAAAAGTCTGTTTATGTTCAAGTCAGATGCACCTGGGATAACAGGTTGCACCACAGCGTCCAGCTTAATGTCAGCTCTTTACAGAAGATGCCTGCTGATCCCTGCTCTCCATCCAACCACCAATTACAGGAAATACAGGGGACAGAGGAGCACGTCCAACAATGTCAAGGGGATGCAGCCAGCAAAATCCAGACTGCAGGAAACTAGGGAGCAGGCCAGCTGTCTCCTTGACACATAATCTGCAACAACCAATAAAAAAACCGAGGGGACCTACACACAACAAAAGAGCTGGCAGTGACAGGTGTCAGAAGTAGATGGTAAGAAAATAAAAACTCCTTTTCCCTGGTAACCAGTAAAGAGGTGCCTGAAACTCCAAACCAGGAACAAACAGTGTAAACCATTTCATTTAAAAATGAAAAAAAAAATTTAAAAAAGAGAGAACATCTATTAAAAAGGTCATAGTGGCAGTGTTTGGATTTTTAAACTGCGTACAGTCCGCCCTCTGTGTCCACGGGTTCTGCACCCACGCATTCTACCAACCACAGATCAAAAATGCTCAGAAAAGCTGGGCGTGGCCATGCGGCAGTCATCCCAGCTACTCAGGAAGCTGAGGCAGGAGGATGGCAAGTTTAAGGCCAGCTGGGCAACTTAGTGAGACCTTGTCTCAAAATAAAACATTAAAAGGGCCAAGATTGTAGCTCAGTGCAGAGCTCCCCTGGATTCCATCTCAGTACTGAACAAAGAAAAAAATGTTCAAAAATATATTGCCCTGCGTGGTGGCCCCTGAGCTGCATCCTGCTGTGTTGGAATGGCTCTTCAGGAGCAATGCTGTGCTCTTCCATTTGGAGGCACTTCATGCCCAGTCTTTCTTGATTGCATTTTAACTTAAAGAGGCACAAAAGAGGTCAAAACCGAAAGAGCCGTTCACTCCTGGTCCCACCACATTTTGGGGAAGTGTATGAACTGGGAAGTGAGAACCAGCTGGGTGCAGCTTCCTGCAGACATGTTCTGGGAATATGCTGTAAGAGCTGGCGCCCACTAACCCCCCTCACAGCCTGAAGGACAGAGGGACGGTCGCTGGCCCCCAGCCACTAGGGAGGCGGGCACACCTCTTTCCCTCTCTGAAATTTTCCTTACCCCTTTTCTTTGAATAACGGAGACACCAGACTCAAATGGATTTTAAGTGACTGTTTCTTAGAAGGTACAGGAACTTCCCCCTAAGAGTCAGGAGGGTGGAGAGATCGGACATCATGCATCCCCGGTGACCCCACCAGCCTCTCACGGTGGGCAGAGGCAGGCTTGGGAGAGACTCCAGGCGGCTCCCTGGAGCACCCCGGCCTCTCCGCCTTCCCGGTTCTCCTTTCATGTCCTTTGCTGCCCTGTACCTTGCTTGTACCGTGCCCAGTCCTCGCTTGTCATGCATCCTGCAGGACCAGCTGTCAGGCCCTCTAGACCCTTCCAGCGGCTTGCCCGGCCCCGCTAGATGGCGCTGTCGGCGCTCTGTTCCTCCCTCCTGGCTGGGGCGGGGCCGCGCGGGGCGGGGCCGGAGCTGTGCCGCGCGGGGCGGAGCCGACCCAGGGCCCCGGCGCAGGGCCCAGGAGGGCGTGGGCGCCGAGATCAGACGCGTCTTGTGCGCCTCAGACTCCACTGCCTCCTGTTTGACCCGAGGCTTGTAAACCAGGTCATCAGGACCGGGCTCGGGGCTCCTAGACGACCACCCACCTCTAGCCTATCAGGGACGCCAGAGGTGGGACTGGGATTTGCAGGGTTCTCTTCAGGGGGAGGGGGAGGTGTCTGCGGTGTCCCCACCCTTTTGATGTCAAGATAAGGGAGAGGCATCTACCGACCTGCTCCGAGAGCTTGATTTTTGTCTCTGTAGCTTGGGGGACGCGCTGGATGGTGACTGACACGCACCAGAGACAGTGGAATGGTGATTGATTAGTGGATCAGCCCGAGGTAGCGGAGGAGACGGCTGTGGTTCGGGACATACGTGCCTCGTCTGGCAGCTGCTGTCACCGTCCTCACCACATCCCCCTTCCTGGTATCCTGTCCCCTCTCTGGAGAATTGCCTGAGAGTGACAGAGCTGCAGTGTCTTGCTAATTTGGGGGGACAACCCATAGCCCATGGTACAGAAGGTTTCCTCCTCACCTCAAGAGGGGTGAATCTAGGGTATGTTGATGTCCCAGAGCTTCTGTGGGTCTAGCCAGGGCTGCACTTACCCTGAGACCACGTCCTTACTGTCTCTGTCCATTTTCTGTTGCTAATAATACAGTTCCCCAGACTTGGTAAGCCATAGAGAAAAGAGGGTTGTTTTTTTTCTTTTTTTTGGCTCATGGTTCTAGTCCAAGGTCAAGGGGCCTCATCTGATGATGGCCTTTTTGCTTGCAAAGTCCTGAAGTGGACAGAGCATCACATAGCAAGACCCGGGGAGTGTTTGAGAGCTAAAAGCCAAACTGGCTTTTTATAGCAGATTCACTCTTGAGATAACCCATTAACCCATGAGTCCATTAATCACACGAAGGGATTAATTCTCACCTCTTAAGGGTCCCACCTCTTAATAGCTCATAATGGGGATTAAATTTCAGCATGAGTTCTGGAAGGGGCAAGCCATATATCAATCGTAGTATTTCCTGAACCCTCTCCTTTCCCTGCTCTGCTCCGTGGCCCCTCCCTTGTCAGGACCACACCCCCTCTAGTAAGTCCTTATTGCTTCCTGACCACCTGAGGGGGGAAACAGAGCAGTCCCAGGAAGCTGACCCAAGGCTGGGATTCTGAGTTGCTGTCTGGCAGCTGGTGATGAGGAACCTATTGCTGGCAGTTCCTGGCATGAGATGGCAGAGCAGCTGCTTGGACCTCCCCCTCTGGAGACAGGGCTGAGGTGGACAGGGGTGCCGTGGCTCATGCAACATCCCTGTGTTTGAGTGCTGTTGGGGAAACCAGTTATAAAGACAGCAGGATGGGAAGGTCGTTGCTGAACACCACTGTTGCTTTGAAGGGAGAAAATGACAAGTTCAAGGTCACAGATCAGCAACTTAAAGCAACATCAGGATTCCTTGGCAGCTTTTAAGGAAGTCCTTCTTTTCTATAGCCAGGGGGCAGATGATTGAAGACTACGTGTAGGACTTGCCTGTACAAGACACAGCATTTCAGCAAAGATTGAATTCCCAGCCTTGGGAAGTGTACTGGATTAGTGGGTTTTCTGTTACCATAATGAAATACCTGAAGCATGTGAACTTTCTCTATTAGGAAAAGAGTTCCAGTGGGCTGGGGAGAGAGCTCAGTGGTAAAGTACTTGCTAGCATGCACGTGGTCCTGGGTTCAATCCCCATCACACATTAAACAACAACAACAACAACAAAAGAGTTCTGGAGGCTGAGAGTCCAAAGATCATGGTGTGGGCTCTGGTAGGCACCCCCTTGGCTGTGTCACCTCTTGGTGGAAGGCAGTGGCAGGATCATGCATGGGAGCAACTGATCACATCCCACACGGAAGCCAGTGAGCTGGGTGGGCTCAGGCTATTAGAACCCTTCTTTAAAATTACCAAGGAGCAGCCTGGGTGAAAGAGTTCCTGCCTGGCATGAATGAGGCCCTGGGTTCGATTCCCAGCATTCCCAAAGATAAATAAAATAAATAATATATAAAAATGAAAATAAATATATAATAATATATAATAAAAATAAAACCCTTAAAAATAATAATATATAATAAAAATGAAGCCCTTCTGAAGGCATGTCCCAGTGACTTAAGGACTTCCCACTAGACCCCACCTCTAAACAGTCCCACCACCTCTCTCGTCACCACTCTGGGGACCATTCAGGTGCCCCAGTGGAATGGATGGTCTCTCGCCCTGACACATGAAACTAGGGGGGGGATTAAACCATAGTCAATTAATAGTATCTCCCCCCACCCCAGAATCAGGGTCTAGATGGGGAGGGGCTAGATGAGGGAGGGTGGGATCTTTGAGACCTGAGATAGAGGTATCTGGAAAGATGCTCTTGGGGACCTTGAACCCCCAGACTCTAGCCACTGGTTTGCAGGAGTGGTCCTCTCCCCTCTGTTGAGAGAGCACCTCCCCCATCTTGCTTAAAGACTGCAAAGCTTCTAATAAGCAAGGTGCCTTTTAAGACAAGGCTTCCTCTCTTAGAATCTGTCCCTTTCTCCCCTCTTGGCTGCCAGACTCAAAGCCAGGACCCCCTCTCAGCAGGACCTGACCAGGGATGTGCTTTGTGCTAAGGGATGAGAGGAGCTGACTGTCAAAGGAGCTGCAGGGCGGGCCAGCAGGGGCTGGTGGGGACCCGGAGGCTATTCCCAGGCATGCAGCCTAAGGTTTCAGATCCAGAGAGGCTGACACAGGAGCTGCATGTGGAGAATTTATCAGGGTGGAAAGACTCAGATTTGACACCTGAAAATGCCCCAGGGAGATGGTTCTGCTACATTGCTGGAGGGTTCTTGGAAGCTTGGAAAAAGTGCCAGTGTGCTGTCTATGGAGTGGACAGGTCAGCATGGCTGGGGGAAGGTACTCAGAGACTCAGAGAAGTAGGTTAGCCAGGGTGCATCTTTGCTTGTAGGTAGGCCTCCACTCCCAGGAACTGAGGCCTTTACGCATTAGGGCTGAACCCTGGGGGACCCTTCAGCATGGTTCAGGAGCCCAGGGTGGCTGTCTTGGGTGGGCAGGGCCTGGCAGAGGGAGGATGGGGAGGGTGGGGTCCTTGAGACCCCATCCCGCTATAGAACTGAGCTCTCTTATAGCCAGGGTATACAGGTGCCATGGTCCGAATATGGCTTGTTCCCTCAAGACTCACGTTGAAATTTAATCCCCATCATGAGCTGTTAGGAAGTGCGACCCTTAAGAGGTGAGCAGAGCTCTGTCCTCACAAGTGGATTAAACCCTTCATGTGGGTTAATGGGTTATCTCAAGGGTGGATCTGCTGGGGCTGGGGATGTAGCTCAGTGGCCGAGCGCGTGGCCAGCAGAGTGAGCTCTGGGTTTGATCCCTGGTCCAGAAAAATCAGAAACAAAACAGGAGCGGGCACCACGGCACACACCTGTAATCTCTGACTGGGAGGCTGAGGCCAGCCTCAGCAACTTAGTGAGAGTCTGTCTTAGAATTAAAAAAAAGAAGCCTGGGATGCAGCTCAGGGGCAAAGCTCCTGGGTTCAATCCCCAAACTTCTCCTCCCCCTGAAAGTGGTTCTGCTTAAGCCAGTTGTTTAGGTGCCTCTTACACTCCGTCTCCCTGTCTCTCGCCATGTGATGCCCTTCGCTGCCTTGGGACTTACCAGAAGGCCATCCCCAGATGTGGCCCCTTTACCCCTGGACCATGACCCTAAGCCACAACAGATCTCTTTTCTCTGAGGCTGACTCAGCCTGCGGATCTGTGTTATCAGCAACAAAAAACAGACGGAGACAACAGGGCTCTGGAGTCGCAGAGGCCAGAGAGCAGAGTGGACATGAGCCGGGGACTGCAGGCAGGGGTCATGACATATACAGCTCCATGGCCGTGGCTGACAGGACGTGGCAGCTCCCAGGCCAAGATCACGGACAGTGGTCAGGAATGGATAAGCAGGAAGCCAAGGTCAGGTACCCGAACGGAATGGATGATCTCTCGCCTGGTTTCCAAACTGGAGCCTGACCTCAGCCTCAGCACCCACCAGCTGAACATGGGCTGGTCCCATGAGCAACCTCCGTCCTGCCTGAGAGGGACCGAGTGAGTTTCCTGGGGCGCCACACAAAGGGCCACAGGTGGGGTGGCCTAAGCAGGAATTCACTGCCTCACGGCCCTGGAGGCCAGAAGTCCAAAATTAAGGTGTCCCCAGGGTGGCTCCTGAGGACAGTGAGGAAGATCTGATCCAGGCTCCCGCGCAGCTGCTGGAAGTTGCCTGGAATCTGTGGTGACCCTTGACCCCTGGAGGCATGGCCTTGACCTCTGCCTTCATCTTCTCAGACGTTCACCCTGTGAGCTTGTCCAAATGTCCTCTTTGTATCAGGGCACAGTCGGGTTGGACTAGAGCCCACCCTGATGACCTCATTGGAGCTCTATCATCTCCAAAGACTGTAGTCCCAAAGAAGGTGACATTCACAGGTACAGGGGGGAGGGGGGGAGGCTCTCAACATCTATCAGGGACACACAATTCAACCCAGAACAGGGAGCGTCGGCTACTGGCTCTCGTCATCCACAGCAGGAAAAGGTGTGTGTGGGATCAGGTCCCCCGGAAAGTGGGCAGGTGGATTCAGGAGGGATTTATCAGGGTTACACCTGGGAAAGATAAAGGGGAGAAGGATCGGGACGGGTGGCGAAGATTCCAGGCCTGAAGCGGATCTGCCCTCTGCAAAAGGAGAGTGGGTAGGAAGGAGGGTGGGTAGGAAACGCCTCCCCGGGGCACGGCTTCGGGAGTCTTGGGCAGCCTGGCGGGTGGGGACAGAGGGCTCTAGAGCAAAGATGGTCCATCAGAGGAGTCCCACGCTGGGAAGGAAATGTGGGCCCCTCCATCCCTGCTGTGTGGGGCCACTGGGAGCTGCTCAGGAGGTCCGGCCTTGGCTCAACACTGGCCCGCCCCGGAGGCTGTCCACCCACTGCCCCTTGGCAGGCGCTCTCTCGAAGGGGGAGCTGAGTGGCAGGTCTCCAAAGCTGCCACATGGCTTCACCCAGATCTTTTGAGGCCCTTGGTTACAGAGGCCACATTGACACTGATACCCAGGCCCCGGGGCCATTCCTTACAGTGGAATGAGGATGTATGGGGACTGGGTCATCAATGGAGTCCTGGCCTAGATCTGTCCTACAATAGGACTGTTGTGTCCAGGGTCTTGCTGGCTGTCCTTCTGCCAGTTCCTGAGGACGCAGGCGGAACCAGGTGCTTGGCACTCAGTAGGACTTTGTGTCAGTTCCTCGACATGCGCGCAGTCAGAGCCGTCGTGTGAGGGAAGGCCAGTGGAAGACCCTGAGACTGTCACCTTGCCTCCATCCTCCTCCCCGCTGTCCTGACTCTGCTAAGAGGGTCAGTCAAACTCAGTGTTGATAAAGACAAGGAAACTGTGGCATTTGCTGGTGAATGGATGGAACTGGAGACTATCGTGCTAACTGAAGTAAGCCAACCCCAAACCCAAAGGCTGAGTGTTCTCTCTGATGTGTGGGTGCTGACGCCCAACAAGGCGGGGAGCAGAAGTCCACTGGATGAGACGAAGGGCATGAAGGAAGGGAGAGGGGACGGGAGTGGGAAAGACAGTAGAAGGAGTCGGACAGCACTTTCCTGGGCTCATAGATGAGTCCACCACCAGGGACACTCCACATCATGTCCACCACAGAACGGGGAGTCCTACTCTGCTTGTGTATAGTGTGTCCAAATACAGCCTGCTGTCGTGTTATCTAAAAAGAAAACCAGTGTTGAATTTCGGGAGGAGTGACAGTCTAGTGTCACCTGCAAAGACTTGGGGATGCCGGGGTCAAGGCCTTTATCCTCACTCTACTGACCTCACTGGTCTGACTCCTGTGGAAGCCATGTGGATCATGGCAGATGGCAGGGGACACCCCGAGCTCAACCAAGGAGCCCCAGGTGTGGCTTCTGGGAAGGGCCGGGCGTCCGGGCCAGAGCTGGTTAGCCTCTCTGCTGGCCCTTGGCCTGGCCACATGCAATCCCTGGCCTTCCCCCAGGGCTGGGCTGATTTTGTTGCTTTCTATCGCAGAATGATCCAAAGTACAATCCAGCCCATCTGGTCAGTCCGGTCCCGTGCACTGGCCGGCTCTGGCCGCAGCCTCGCGGTACAGACCCCTGGAGCAGGAAGGAGCAGGCACATGGGAGCTTCCGGAGACCCTGTGGCCCAGAGGTGGGAGGTAAGGGAGAGGCTCAGCAGCTGCCCGAAGGGTCCAGTGGCCTGGCACATCCGACCCTCCCCTTCAACACAAGGGTGGGTCGCACCCCTCGTCCCTTCTCCCACAAAGAGAGAGGGGTGTGACCCACCACTTCTGAGGGGCGGGCGTCTTTGGGGGAGCAGCAGCACTCTCCGCACCTGGGACCCGCTTTGGCCCACTCACTGGGCAGGACAGAAGGCCGCTCATGTGGAGCCGCAGTCATGTAAGTGACTGCTTGGGACACGTGACCGGCCAGGCCCGATGGTGTTGGAGGTTCCTGTAGCTGAAAGGTCACCATGTGGCTCTTTGGCAAGCGCCAACAGGAAAGCCACCAGGCAGAGTCCGAGGGTGCTGGAGCAAGGCCATGCCATCTGCAGCAGAGGACTCCTGACCAGCCCAGGGGACACCGAGTGGCCAAGTGGCCACAACTTCACATCATGAACCGATAAGCTACCCACCAAATCACAGGACCGGGCTCTCGTCACAAGACGGAACCAGCACATCAGGGATGGCCCCAGAGGTCAAGGGCGTGAGCCAGAGGCCTGAACAGATAAGGGCCACTGTCACGGGGAGGCCTCTCCTCAGCTTCCCCCACCGTGGGGTTTCCCTGTGACCAGCTGACAGCGTTGGTACCTCCTGTCACCTTGGTAAGCTGCCGGGAGCTGAAATCGATTTGCTGGGGCATGGTGGGGGGTCCTAAAAGCCAGTGGGCGGAGCTTTGGGTGGGACACCTGCCATCTGCTCTGTGAGAAGAGAGAACTGACCTGAGTCAGGATACACTGCGCTCGCGGCAGTGCTCAGTCCGTCGGTCGGTCCAGAAAGGGCACGATTGGGGGCTTGGGAACAAGGAGGTCTGGGAAGGGCACTGGCCCATGGGGAGGACCCAAGCCTGACATCTCTGCATCTCGTTTCAACACCAGAGAGCGTCCAGGACAGAAGAGACATCAAACAACCCGGTGGACGAGATGACCTGGGCAGCGGGTTCACGGGTGGAACAAGGGTGGCACTCACTGGGCAGAGAGGGCGGCTTCTCATGGGCCCAGGAGCTGCTTCTGCCCACTGAGGCCGACATAGTTACTGCCACCTCCGAAAGCCCGACCTGTGTGCAGCCGGGACCCTCCCTGACCTTCCCTGGTGATTCCCAGCCCCGAGTTGACCGCCAGCCCTCGCTAGTGAGTGGATCGCCCACAGCCCTTCCTTCCAGGACGGCGACCCACCAGACCCGCGGACATCTGAGAGGACATCACCTCTGGCCCGGGGATCCTGGGGCGGGAGGAATGGCTGTGGACACAGGTCCGTGGAATCCCCGATCCGACTGCAGACTTGCACTGTGGGGACAGGCCCCTCCACCTGCCGCTGTCCCTGGGGAGACACTGCTCTTGAAGCCAAGCAGTCGCATGGTGCCCTCCCCTCCGCACAGCAGAAGGGACAGAGAGATTAGTCAGCTTTCTTGCTGCTGTGGCTAAAAGACCAACCACAACCAGTGAAGGAGCGCTCACGGTTTAGGGCTCACGGTTTCAGAGGTCTCAGTGCATAGATGGCTGACTCCATTCCTCAGGGCTCAAGGTGAGGCAGGGCATGGTGGAGGGAGAGTGTGGCAGAGGGATGAGCCCCCAGGATGGTCAGGAAGCAGGGAGACTCCGCTGGCCAGATGCAAATATATACCCCCAAGCCACGCCCCATGCCCACCCTCCAGCCACACCCACCACCTCAGGCAACCCAGTTAATCTCATCAGGGGATGGATTCAGGGTTGTGTCCAGACTCTGACTGCCCAGTCACTCCTCCTCTGAACCCTCCTGCCTCGCGACTCACAGGTGAGCTTTGGGGGACACCTCACATCCAAACCATGACAGGTGCAGCTCCTCGCAGTTTCTGAGGACCATGTGGGGAAGCCTGCCTCCTGTCCCCACATCTTTAGTCTTTGGGGTGCCTCCCAAGTGGACCTGGCTTCCATTGGAACACAGGAAGAGTCCCACTGGACGTAAAGCTACGGTTGGCCACTCAGGCCATTTTTAGATGTACAGCTCAGTGGCTGAAATCATTCACACTGTTGTGCAGCCGTCACCACTGGCCCTCTCCAGAACTCTTCCACCTTCCCACACTGAGACTCTGTCTCCCTAGAACACTGTTACCAGTCACCTTCCCCCAACCTGACAACCACTGTTCTACTTTCTGCTTCTCTGGATCTGACTGCTCTCGGAACCCTGGTAAGTAGAATCGTAGGATATTGGTCCTTCTGTGACTGGCTTACTCCACATCTTCAAGGTTCACCTCGGTTGGAGCAGGTGTCAGAATTTCCTTTTTTTCAGGGCCTAATAATATTCTGCCACCTGCACATACCACATCCAGTCCTGGGCTGAATACTACAACTTCATTTATTTTAAAATTCTTTTCTGAGACACATTTATTTTTCCTTTTCAATTCTTGTAGTTACTGACAATGCAGAAAACACACCGGTGACTATACTCACGCTGTTATTTTTGTAGGGCCCGTTTCTAAAAGTGAGATGGCTGGGTCACAGGATATAAGCATTTCAATGTTTAAGACATTCCAGATTCTTCTTCTGAAAGGTTATACTGACTCCTGTTTGCAGTGAAGGGGTTTGAGTGTGGGTGCGTTTCTCTCCACACCAAGTTTCTACCTTCTAAAATTTTGCTGAGCTGGGGGTAAAATATGATAATGGCACTGTTTTAATTTGCATTTTCTCTGGCACTATCAAGGCAGAGCCCATGTCTGTGTGTCTTGGTCATGTATATTTTTTATTTTTGTGGAGTTCTTATTTTGATCTTTTGTCCATTTCCCAGGCTTGTCTTGTCTTTCTTTCTAGGATGTTCCTACATTTCCCCACCTTTTTTGATTGGTGCATTCTAGTCGCACATAATGAGGGCTCTGTGGCTGCACGTTGGAACACGCCCAGCACGCAGCACTGCAGCTTGGCCGACCCCCCCCTCCCACCTGGGTCTCTCTCCTCTGTAGACGCATCTCTCTGATGTTCATGAGATCCTTTCTTTTCCTTTCTCCTCTCAGCTTCCGCATGTGAGAGAAAACATGCCACCCTTGACCTTCAAGTTTGACTTATTTTGTTTAATGTAATGGTCTTCAGTTCCATCCATTTTCTCCGCTGTTGATGTTGATGGACTTTTATTTTATTCATTTATTTCTATTCGGTGCTGAGAATCGACCCAGGGCCTCACACAGGCTAGGCCAGCGCTCTGCCCCTGGGCCCCAGCCCCAGCATTTCTTGTCATTTGTATCCTTGATGGCTGTCATTCTGACACGAGATGAAATCTCAGGTGGTTCTGATTTGCTAATGAGGTTGAACCTTCTTTTTTGGATATGTGTTGGCCATTTGTACTTCTTCCTTTGGGAGGCGTCTCTCGTGCATTTGCTCTCCGCTCGTCTTTGAGCTCTTTATGTGTTCTAGGTATTAATCCCCTGCAGAAGAGTAGCTAGCAGGGATTCTCTCCCCTTCTGTGGCCTCTCTTCACATTCCTAATGGTTTCCTTCGCTGTGCAGAGGCTTTTTGATTCAAGGCCCTCCGTTTATTGACTCTTGGCGTTATTTCCGTGCGCTTCCCGCCCTCCCGTCACGGTCCCTGACTCTATCCAGGGTCTTTTCCTAATCTGCCATTTGCTTCCTCACCTTGTGCGTCTTCTGTTGAGCAGAGACATCGCACCTAACGCAGCAGTCGCGGTGATCCACCTGTCACTTATGACGTGCCTTTCACATCTCATTTAAGACGCTCTTTCCCACACCTATCACCAATGGTTGGGTCTCTTATATTTCCTGCTTATACACGTTTCAAAGTTTTGCTTTACATTTGGGGACGTCTGTGTATTTTTATTCTGGTGTGTTATCTTAGGTTTGGTTTTCCCAGGGACAGGTCCTGAGACAAGGATTTGGGGGCAGGAGTAGGGGAGGGAAGGAGGTCCAAGGGCGTGTTGGTGAGCAAGCGCCACCATGTGCAACTGGGACTCAGCCCGCCCAGGACCCTGGAGAGATGGTACAGAACACGCCCCACCCTGTGTCAATTGAGGGCCAGGAAGTGACAACTTCCTGGACATCCTCCTGGGGCAGGGACCCTGGCTCTTCCAGCTGTTGTTTCTGCAGGGCAAGTGCAGCCCTTGGGGCTCAGGGGTCACAGGTATGCTCAGAGGACACCTTTGTGTGCTGGGTTGGGGTGTGAAGAGGGAGGGGTCAGGCACCCTGGTGTCCACTGCACTGTGGGACCTACACTTACCGTGTTCCAGACGGACAACCAGTTGCCCCAGCACCATTTGTTTTATCCATCCATTTTTGAGTTTCTTAAATAAAATTCCTGGGTCCATATTCTGGGCGTATTACCTGCTCCTGTAATGTTCTCACATTGTTCTAATTATTACAGCCGCACAAGTCTTGGTTTCTGGTAGAGAAAATCTCTGCCCTTACTTGCTCTTCTTTGAAATTGCCCTGGCTGTTCTTAGCACTTTGTTTTTGCATTTTAGGATCTTATTGTTCCCCGAAAGGCTCCATTCGTACTATGAATTGAATTGCATTAACTTTATGGATTAATTTAGGAAGGGTCGTTACGTGTTTATGATGTTGAGCTTTTCTATTCATGAACATGCTATATATCTTTATTTTATTCATGTGTTTTGTGCTCTGCGGTAGTGTTTTGTAACTTCCTCCATAAAGGTCTTGTACATCTTATTTTCTCTTTTAATTTCAGTCCCTAATGTTTTTTTTTTTTTTTTTTTATTGCAAATGGAAGCAGTTCCTTCACAATGTTATTCTTTCTCGTTGGTTATTGTTGGGCACAGGAATATTATTGGTCATTTACAATACACATGGATCTCCAGCAACCCAGTTGGAACTTTATTACTTTTCAAAGTTCATAGACACTCTTGATTTTTCTAGGTAGACAATCATATCATCAGCAAAGAATCACAATGTGTTGGCTCTTTCTTTTCTATAATTGTGCTGTTTATTTCTTTTTCTTGTCTTACTGAATAGGCTATGACCTCTAGCACAATGTCAAACAGAGGAGTGGCTGCTAGCTTCCTCACTTTCCCTGAATTAAAATGCTAATGCTTTTTAATGTTTTAGCACTAGGCCCGCATGCTGTCAGTTTTTGATAGTTATCTTTGATGAAGCAAGAGAATTCCTTTCTATTTTTAGTTTGTGACATGGATAAGTATGGAATTTTATTACATGTTTTTCTGCATCCACAGAGGTGGAGACATTTCTCTTCTTAATGCTATCTAAATATTTTTTAACTGACTGTTTCATAACTGGGGTGATGTCAACCTGGCCATGGTGTGTATATTCTTAAAATGCACACAGAATTTGTTTGGCTTATCTCTTAGGATTTCTACATCCATGTTTAAAAGTGGGATTGTTTAATGATCTTGTTTTCTTGTGAAGTCCTTGCTCAACTGAGATATGAGCAATGCTGTCTTCCTAAAAGAAGCAAAATCTGCCTTTTTAAACATTATTTTAAGACTTCATATGCAGTTTTACCTGAGGTTTAATATTTAATATTAAAGCTGCTCATGGTCTTCTCCAACGATTTTAAACATCCCTGCTGCGTCAACAGTTACATTGTCCCTGTTCCTAATGTTTAAGCCTTCATCCTTTGCGTTGATTGAACTTTCTAGAAGTTTATTTTATTGGTCTTTTCAAGGACTCAGCTTTGGTGGCGTTAGCTGTTGGGGGCGGTAGGGAATGTGCTACGTAGAGTCCTCCTTTCTTGTGGAATTTAGAAGCGGGTGGGAGGCCTAGCCATCCTCTTCGATGCTGGTGAGGTCGACGCAGGGGCGTGGAACACGCGGGGCAGAAGCCCTGCTGGGGATGAGACCCAGGAGGGACGGACTCCAGAACCTGGTCCACTCGGTCACGCAGGGCGGCCACCTACTGCATCTCTCAGAGACGGGTTTTCATACCTCCTCTGCTCTGCGGTCAGAATCTCGGGGTGAGGAAAGGGAGAGAGAAGGCCAGGGTGGGGCTGGGGGCGGGTCCCTGCTTGCCCAGCTTCTCTGTCCAATCAGAGAGCCCAGGTCCCCTGCGGTGGGCGGTGCAGGAGAAGGGGAGGAGGCGGGCATTCCTCCCCAGTGGGAGGGACCCTCAGGAGCAAATGGACACTGATGACCTCCAACACCTAAGGTTCCTATTTTATTAGTCTTTGTTTGTTTGGGGATTTCTTTTAATTTTATTCCTTCTGCTTCCTTTGACTTTTTCTTTAACCCTTTCCCTGGCTTCCTGAGTTGGTCGCTTTAGTCATTGTTTCCAGCCGCCGCCTTCTTCTTCTTCTTCCTCTTCCTCTTTCATTTTTTGGTGCTGGGGATTGAACCCAGGGCCTTGTGCATGCGAGGCAAGCACTCTACCAGCCGAGCTACATCCCCAGCCCTCAGCCTTCATTTTCAGACACGCAGTTCTCAGTCTCTTGTCATTTATTTGTAGGCTCCTGTTTTAGTCGGCCTTTTCGCTGCTGTGAGGGAAGGGCCGACCAGCACAATTATGGAGGAGGAAGACTTCAGTTTCAGAGGGCTTAGTCCATAGAGGCCGGCTCCATTCCTGGGGCTCAGCTGAGGGGATCACCAGGGTGGGAGAGGGTGGCAGAGGGAAGCAGCTCCAGGAACCAGAGAGAGACCCCACTCCCGGGTGCAAATATATATCCAAAGCCACGCCCAATCCCCTCCAGCCACACCCCCCACCTCAGTTACCACTCAGTTAATCCCTATCTGGGGATCAGATCGCTGATGGGTCCAGACTCTCTGGACCCAGTCATTTCTCCTCTGAACCTTCTTGCACTGTCTCACACGAGGGCTTTTGGGGGACACCTCACATCCTAACCATAACGGTTCCTTTATGATCTATAGTTATCTATAGACTATAATGAGTGAGGTCAATTTTTTTTTAATTGTGGATCTATAGTTTATCTGTGTTGTGCCGAGAGATTGTGGCCCATCAAATACAGATTCTTTTGACCTTTTTAGGAGTTCCTCTGTGACCTCGCAGATGGTCAGTCTATACATATTCAGTGTGTGCTGGAAAATGCCGAGTGCTGTCTATTTGTTGGATATGCGGTTCTACATAAAGTAAATTAATCTTTGTGAATTATGCCGTTCAGGTAGATCAAAGTCCTCCTCATGGTTTTTCTATTTCTCCTTGCATATGAGTCAGGTTTTTTTTTTGTTGTTGTTGTTATTTTTTTTGGTTGTAAATGGACACAATAATTATATTTTTATTTGTTTATTTTTACGAGGTGTTGGGGATCGAACCCAGGGCCTCACACGTGCAAGGCAAGCACTCTACTACTGAGCTACGGCCCCAGCCCTATGAGTCAGTTTTTGCTTTGTGTACATTGAAGTTATTGTCAACTTCGGGACTTTGAGGATGGTTCACATTATCATTATGTTGTATATTTATTTATGCCTAAAAATGTATCCTGCCATAAATTCTCATTTCAGTATGTTTCCAGGTCAGCTCTCTCTTGGTCACCATTTTGCAGCAGGGCTTCTGGTTGCCAGGCAGGACTAGTTTTCCCAAAATTGTATTTGTGGTGAAATGCACTTGGCTAAAGTCTACATTAAACATTTTTTTTTTTTTTTTTTGGCAGCAGAGTGTGGTCCCACAACTAGATGTTAATCCATGAGATGTGACAAAAAGGCTGCTGGAAGCAAGTCAACCCAGGTTGGACAGCACCCCTTCATTTTGTCTCCTTTAATTCTTTCTGATAACTGGAATGTTGGTTGGATAGCTGGAAATTCAGCAGCCACCTTGGTACAAGAGGTTGCTTTGAGGATACTATGAGGTACTGGAATAGCACGACAGAAGAATCCTGTGCTGAATCCAGGTTCATAATGGAACTGTCTTACCTATTATTCAAACTAATTCCAACAAACATCAGGTATATCCTTATTTTTGAGACTTTTTGCCTTAGGGGTATCTGTTCACATATCTTGGATACAAATCCTTTGCTCAGGATTGGAAAAATATGCAAATTTATGAATATTCTACAAATATTTTATGAGTATCTAGCACTGTGCCAGGACACAGTAGGCAGTCTTTAAATATCGGTTGAATGATGAATGAACAAATAGGCTACAAATATTTTCTCCCATCTATTGTTTTGCGTTGTAACTGTAATTGTAACATCTTTGCTGTACTGAAGTTAAAAAAGCCTTTTAGGTGGTTAAATATGTCGGCCTTTGCCTGTTTGGCCTCTGGCTCTGGTTATGCTAGGAGCCCTGCTTGCCCCAGACTTCTAAGTTCATCTTCCTGTGTTTTATGCTACAGTTACCTACGTGCATAAGTCTCACATAGAGGCTGACTTGATGAGGACGTTTTGTGTATGCTGTGAGGTAGGCACCGAACTTTGTTTCCTTCCAAATGGGTAGCAGGTTACACCACAAGCCACGAATTGAGAGGACACCCTAAGTGAAACCAGCAGGGCCTCCAGTGTTGGTTGGGGGCAGTGAGGACCACCTCTGCGCAGACGCTGCCCGCTCAGCGCCCCCTGCAGGGCGCTGTTCACCTGGGCAGTAAGGGCTGCTCTGTGATGGGGACCATTCACAGGCCTCACAGAATCCCCACCTTCTGCGTCCACACCAAGAGAGCCACTTGCTACCGTGGTGCAGTGAGAAACGTGGGTTGGTCTTTGTCCCTGGTTCCTGGCACGGAGCTCCTGCATCCCTGGGGCGGGAGTCTTTTTTCTAACCTGGTGACGCTTGGCAGATCCCCAGATGGCTTTCAAGGTGGAGCCTGGTTGTCAGAAGACCAATCTTGATGAAGCTGGAACATTCAGTCTCACCCGCATCTGCTGGAGAGTGGGGAGGGCTTGGGTGTGTGGATCCCTGGGTGGTGGGACTGGGGGATTCTGGGGTAGTGAGCTCGCGGGAGTGCAGGGAGGGTGGTGTGCCCTGTCCCCCACACCTCGCCCTATACGTCCCTTCCATCTGGCTGCCTCTCAGTTGTCCCCTTTATTATAAACCAGGACAGGTCAGACATCCCTAATCTGAGAATCCCAATGATATGCTCCAAAATTCTAAATTTTTTAAATACCTTTATTTTATTTATTTATTTTTATGTGGTGCTGAGGATCGCCTAGTAGCATGTACTAGGCGAGTGCTCTACCACCGAGTCACAACCCCAGCCCAGAAAATTCTAAATTTTTGAGCACTGATATGACGTGGAAAATTCCACATGTGACCTCAGGTGGTGGGCTGCAGTCACAATACAGGCACTAAAAATACCGTACAAAGTCGTCATCAGGCTTTGGGTGTGAAGTGTACATAAAACATCCAGAACGTCCCTTCCCGGGATAACTCGTTAGGTACCGCTGTGCCTCACTTAACCACAGGGTTGTGTTCCGAGAAGTCGGGTGGTTTTGTCATTGCATGAACATCACAGAATAGGCTTGCACAAACTGAGAGGGCCACCAGGTCTCTCTAAGTGACACCGTGTTACAGATCCATCACTGAGGGCTACATCATTATGCAGCACATGATTGCATGTGCAAATGTTAAAAAATAATGAGGTTCTGAAACACTCCGGTCCCCAGCATTTTGTATGACGGATACCCAACCTGTCATAGCACGCAGAGCACTATCCTGGGTTCTGTGAGTCTTCTAGCAAGTTCCGGGGCCCAAAGACTGCTTCATAGAGCCAGTCGGTCAGGAGGATGCAGGGCCCGGGGCTCTGAAGTGGGGGCAATCCTGTGGGACTGGTCCCTTAGCTCATGGGACCGATACCAGCTTGGAGTTGCACTGGGTGGCTGGACACCTACCTAGCTGGTGCCGCTCGGCCATCGGGTGCAGTCGGCCTGTGAGTGGGTGGAGATCTGTTTCTGTCCTTCTCTCCCTTCCTGGCAAAGTGGACACCCGCTGTGCCCCTCTGGTCTGCCCTGTGGGAGAATGTCCTTCCCCTCTGCCCCTGGGCCTCGGTGAGAGGTCGTCCAGCTCTGTCAGCCTAAGGGTGGGCCCAGAAAATTTCTTCTTCCGTTGGCATCTGGGTAAAATGGTGCCACAGGTTTCCATTTGCCTGCCGCAGGGGTGAGGATGGGCCCTGGTCCTGCTGAGCAGGATCAGGATCTGCTTGTCAACGTGGCCCGGGGCACATGACAGGTGCGCCCACAGTGAATGGAGGGTGACACCAGACCCCTCCCTTTGCCTCCGAAGGGAGCCGGCGAACAGAGCGGGAGAAGTTCCCCGTCCTCAGGACTCAGGGTGCGCCAGCAACTTACCGGGTCCCTGCAACTCGGCTTCATTATGACACTTTCATCTGAGCAGGGACTTTAATATCGAGCATCACGCTGGCCCCGCATGGTGAAAGGTGGGCAGCTTCCAGGGACTGGCCAGGCTGGTGCCACGCCCCTCTCACCTGCTGTCCTGGGGGACGTGTGCCTGTGCTTCATGTCCCTACACCTTGTGCTCCCTGGCGGCAACTGCCAGGAAGGACATCTGCCATGGGTGACTTTGTCCTTTCAAAAGGACACATTGAAGTCTTCAGTCCCAGTACCTGTGAATGTGACCTTATTTGGAAATAGTGATTTTTTGTTATTCACAGGGGATTGGCTTCAGCCCCCGTGGACACTAAGATCCACAGATGCTCCAGTCCCTAGATCAAAAGGTGTAGTATTTGCACACACCCTAGGCACACACCCCGGGCACACACCCCAGGCACACCCTCTCGTACACTTTATCTCTAGGCGACTTACAATACCCAATATAATGTAAGTGCTACGTACGTGGTTGTTATACTGTTGTTTGGTGAATAATAATGAGAAAAAAAATCTGCGTACGTTCAGCACAGATGTAGTATTTTTTCAAACACATTTGATCTGCGGTTGAACTGGTAGATGTGGAACTCATGGACACAGGGGGCCGACTGCCGGGGCTCTGCAGGTGTAGGGCAGGTGAGACAGGATCATGGGCAGGTGGGGGGTGGGGGGGCTGGTCCAATATAACTTTGTCCTCATGAAAAGAGGACATTTGGACAGAGATGTGAAGGGATCATGTCAGGCGAAGGTGAAGGCGGGGACCTGGTTGATGACATCTACACTCCCAGAAATTCAGAGATGCCAGCGAATCACCACCAACCAGGAGAGAGGCCTGGAGCAGGCCCCACCCACCATCCTCAGAAAGAACCAACTCTGCCTTCACCTTGATTCTAACCTCTGGCCTCCAGCTGGGGAGACATCCATTTCTGTTATTTTAGCTGGATGCAGTAGGGCACGCTTGTAATCCCAGTGACTCAGGAGGCTGAGGAAGAGGATAGCAGGTTCAAAGCCAGCCTCAGCAACTTAGCAAGGCCCTAAGCACCTCAGAGAGACCCTGTCTCAAAATATAAAATAAAAAGGGCTGGGGACGTGTTGCTCAATGGTTAAGCACCTGTGGGTTCAATCCCCGGTACCAAGCAAAAAACTCGCTTATTTTAAGCCGCTCAGTCTCTGGTAGTTGCTATGGCAGCCTCAGGAAACAAATGCATCCATCTATCACTGCCATAATGCTCGGTAAGTCCTTCCCTCAGGCCTGCCACTCACGCTGTCTCCTCCCTGGCTCCTCCATCCTGTATCAATTTTTCCTTTGCATGAAGGACGACAAACCAAGGTCCACTAAGTGTGGTCTAAGCGTGGGCCAGCAGCTGCGGGGGTCTGACCTGTGCCCGTCTGGTTGGTGCAGGTGTGGACAACGCTCAGCTAAAGGCTGACAGTCAAGTGCCCAAGGCTGGGGACAGGGTCTGGATCCTCTTCTGTCCTGTGCTAAATGTGGGATCTCCGTTTTCAGGTGTGTGTAACTGAGGGTTCTGGGTGCAGTTCAGAATAGGAAGCGTAGCATTATTGATTCTCCCCTTATTCACATTAAAAATTTCTCTTAGATCATAAATGCATGTAGGCAATAGGAAAATAATATTCATTTTTTGAAAAACAGAAATGCTCTAAGGAGTCAGCTAATGCATAGCTGAGTTGGTGTTAGAGTCTATAAACAAGTCTGGATGGCGCCTGGCAAAATGCCAGAGGGAGTGGTTTGTGAAGTAACCCCAGGGAGCCATTATGTGTGGAGATTTCTTATTGGTTGACTGATGTATCTAGTTTATGCTAATTAGATAAGCTGTGTGGAATGTATAAATACCGCTCCTGTCCTGCAATAAACGGCTCCTACTCCTGCTGTATCAACGTACACAAGTTATTCGTCACCCCCCGGTTATTTTGCTGCAGCCAGCCGGACTGCGGCAAGTTGGAAGATAAATTCTGCTTTCCCTGAACTAGTAGGACCTCGAGGAATGGAGAGAGGCTGAAGTCTTCAATCCTGTCATGCTCCAGGACATGACTTCCGAACTTAGTTCCCACAGTATTTGTTGAGAGAGAGGAATGGAAGGGGAAGGGTTGGTTCCCCTCCTCCAAAATAATTTATCTTTATTATGTTTCTGTGATTTTATTAAAATTTATGCTTATTGTAAAACTATCAAACATTACAGGAAAAATATTAAGAAGAAAGTAAAAATCCTGTAAAACCTATTACCTTGGTGTTACCACCATTAATGGCTTGGAGCACATCCTTTCATGCATTTCTCTATTCATCTATTTGTCCCCAAAACACTATTTTGCATACATTGGATCGTAGTAAATACATTTTAAAAGTTTTTATACCTGTTATATAGAAAAATTCAAGAAAAACACCTGAATCCATAATGACCTGGTCATTGCTAGCATTTTGATACATTTTATTAGACCTTTTTTTCATGTATATTTTCAGACTCCTACAGATAGAGTTATGAAAGTATGTATTCTTTACATGTGGGTCTGTTGCCGAGTGCTTATTCTCCCTTACCCATCTACCATGAGCATTTGCCATGTGGATAATTGTTTCCACATCATGGTTCTGTAATGGTCAAAATTATTCTATCATAGGATTTTCCTCAACCAGTCCCCATTGGACTTTTCTCCCCCTTCCTTAAACAGTACTGGGAGCATCTTTTTCCATCACGACAGCCCACTTGCCTGTTGGTCTTCCAAAGGTGAAATTGTTGAGCCCAAGGCACTGGGCACAAGGCTTTTTTTTTTTTTTTTTTTAGGATTTTGATACAAATAGCCTCTGAGAGATCATATCCGTGTGGCTCCCCCTACCTGGAGCCTCACTGGCTTGAGGGCTTCATTTCACACCAGCAGCAGATGCTGTGGCAGGGTCTGACCCCAGCCTTCCACCAGCCCCAGCCTGTGACTTGGGCACATCTACTTTCTTCCTGAATCCTGGGGGTTGAGTGCTTGGTGACTTACAAAGGTCTGTCACGTCCATAAGGTCAACGAGCCTCAACACTGACCCTGTGTGGTCAAGAGGGAAGGGACCCGTCCCTAGGCATAGGGGAGACCTGGGGTCGTGGAAGGTCAATAGACTTGGGTCAGTGATGGAGGGTTCTGGTCACTTCTGGCGACTGCAGCAGACCCCAGCCTGGGGGCTCACTTAGCAGGCGGTCTTGTTCCCCCAGCTCTGGGGGCTGGAAGTCTCAGTCGGCAGGGGGCTTGATTTCATTAGCGGCCTCTCTCTGGCTTGCAGATGGCCGCCTTCTCACCACACACGGTCATTCTCTGGTCCCTCCGTGGTGCCTCTGTGGGTTCACAGCTCCTCCTCTTATGAGAACCCGTCAGATTGGATCAGGGCTCACTCTAATGACCTCATTGGACTTGATCACCTCTCTAATGGCCTTGTCTCCCCAAACACAGTCACATTCTGAGAAGCTGGGAGTCGGGGCTTCAACATCTGGATTTCTGGAGGGACATAATTCAGCCCCAAAATGCATTAACAGAAGAAATGAGAAAACCCACATTTCTCAAGTTCCGACCTCTCCTGAGAGCCAGGACTGGGGAACTGAATAGAAACACAGGCATCTCACACCAGGATGCCCAGAGAGTCATCAAGAATGCAGGCTGTGACTCTGTCCATGCGTTTGGGATGGGTAGAAGACGGCACTGGGTCGTCTCTCCTCAGTCCCACTGTTTGGGGAAGGTAGAGGGATTTTCCTTGGACCACTTTTTATCAGAGATTCACGTGGGGAACCTTTTGGTTCATAGGTTCCACAAACTTTCCAGAGTGATTCCAGTACCCGGGTGCTAGAAGTGCCTTTCCTACAAAGTTTTATCCATTAGCTGTGGGAGGAACCATTGGACCCCAGAGGAGGGCCCAGAGGTGTGTGGAGGTCTTGGTCTGAACTTGTATGAGCCTTGTCTACAACGTGAGGACGGCCCGGGGAGCCTCCGAGAGATGGGGAAAGTTCTTTCTGGCTGTAAACCAAAAGCATCGTGGGGCTGGGGGTGCAGCTCAGTGGTGGAGCATGTGGCCGGCGCGCACAAGGCCCCGGGTTCCACGCAAAGGGAGAGAAAAAGACATTATTAACTTTAATAATAAAAATAAAACAGGAAAGAAATAGACATCGAATCTTAATCATTGGGCTGGGCTGGGGCTCAGTGGTGGAGCGCTTGCCTTGCGAGTGTGAGGCCCTGGGTTCGATCCTCAGCACCATATAAAGAAAAATAAATAAAATAAAGGTGCCGTGTCCATCTACAACTAAAAATATTTTTTTAAAAAATCTTAATCATTGACATCTCTGAAGGAAACAGTCAATGCAGATCGAAACAGGAAAAGTGTGACTTCTACTGTGATGGTGAGAGTCAAATCCATCTTCACGTGCTCTGGGCACTAATCATGTGACGGGAAGGCTTCAGACTCGGGTCTGTGCACAGGCTGGCGGAGCTGTGTCCAGGACTCTAACGAGCTGCGCTGAGCCGCTGCCTGTGAGGCTCCCGGCGATGGCTGACATTGGCCAGCCAGATCCAGGGTTTCCTGGGGGAACCTGGGTCCACAGAGGGAGTGGGAAGCACATCCCACCTGGCTGAGCACCTCAGGTGGGCCACGTGGGGAAGGGTGAGTGGAAAAAATCCAGAGACCATTGACCACTGAGCTGGGGAAGGAGATCAAGGCGCTGGGGACGCCAAGAGGGACATTTCCCTGGAGTGGCACCAGCTTTGTGGCTGGCGAGATTTTAATTAGATCCAGAGGCTTTTGTTTAAGCCTCGGGAACTTAGATTTGTACCAGCCGATGGATTGCATTGAACTGTGGACAGCATCGTGGGACATTTGGGACTGGCCCTCAGGACAGCCAAGGCCCTGGCCACAGCGTCTCACAGTCTTGATGCAGGTGGTGATGAGCCCCCCGAGGGGCCAGGCCGCTCAGGAGAGTGGCGCCGCAGGGGTTGGCTCTGCATCTGGCCTGCTGTGCCAGGCTCTGACCCCGCAACCACGGGCACGGGCATGGGCACGGGCGTGGGTCCCCCCTGCAGAGCGGCCTCAGAGGTAGTGAGGGTGGGGTGAGCCCCTCGGGCTGGCAGGGTTGCAGAACAAGCCGCCTGGATGGCGTCACCAAGCAGCTTTCCTTCTGTGTCCCCCGTAGTCCCATTTGAATTTATTGAGTGAGTGTCCTTATTTCCCAGGGCTGCTGTAATGAAGTGTCACCAGCTAGGTGGCTTAAACAGTCACTATTTATACTCTCACAGTCCCAGAGGCAGACGTCTGAAATCAGTGTCAACAGGGCTCCCTCTGAAGGCTCCAGGAGAATCTGGCTTCACCTGTCCCAGCTTTGGGTGGTGGCTGGAAACCCTTGGCATTCGTTGACTTTAGACCTTGCTCCATCTCTGCCTGCTTTGTCAGCCCCCTGTTCCCATCTCTCTGCCCTCCTACCATCTTCCGTCTGTACGTGTGTCTGTGTCTAAATTTCTCTCCTCATATGAGGACACCAGTTGTGTTGGACAGCTCTCCATTACCATAACAAAATACCTGAGGCAACTTATAATGAAAAAAGGTCTATTCTGGCCCACAGTTTGGGGGGTTTCAGTCTATGTTCGAGTGACCTCATTGCCTGAGGGGAGGCAGCTCGTTGTGATAAGAACAGAATTGTTCACTTCACAGCCAAGAAGCCAGGAAGAGACTGAGGAGGGGTTGGGGGCCCACATTCCCTCCCATAAAGATTCCATCCCTCCCTTTAATACCACCCCAGGGGCCAAGACTTTAACCCCTGGGCCTTTGAGGGCACTATCCAAACCCTGGCCCCAATGGTTGGATGCAGGGCCCACCCTAACCCACAGTGACTTCCCTGGGGGGACACAGGAGGAGGAGCCTTCAGGGTACAGGAAGGGTCCGCATGGCTGACACCGTCTAGGAAGACAGCTCTGGGCTTTGGGGTTTGCCTGGTTTTAAAGCTGTCACTTCCTCTCATGGGCATTAAGCAATGTGAAGACCCACAGGGCAGGGGTTCCTCACTCTCGGTGTGTACTTGTCCTCCTCAGACCCCAGCAGTCCACCACAGCCCCTGCCTGCCTGGCTGTTTGCCCTTCTAGGTGCCCTCTGGACTCCACCTTCTCTCTGGCAGCCATGGCCCTCACCTCCCTGCACCTGATCAAACTCTGAGCCACAGGCTGGATCCTGCCTGCTCGGGGACATCAGGCCAGCAGGACAGCCGGCCAGCCACAGTCTCCGGCCTCATTTCCCTCAACCAGAGGATCCTGCAAAATTTGTTTGGGAGGCTCAGTACCTCCAGGCGGGAAACGGCAGGCAGACTCCACCCCTTCCCCTTATCTCTCCTGGGAGAGGTGAGACGCCCAGCTCTTGCTGGAGAAATCCTTTTGCAAACCCCTGACCTGCCCTGATCCCTTTAGATTCCAGGGCACCCGCTCCGACACCCTGTACTGAGGCCCCCATCTCCCTCTCATTCCACCGCCCAAGATCTAGTGTATCAGGCCAAATTGGGAGTGGTCCCCACACCATGCCAGCCCAGGACTTGACATTAGTGGCTGTCCCTGTGGGACTCAGATTGGGGTGTGGCTTAGAGGTGGAGGTGGGACTTCAGGGATTCTCTTGACGGGAGCTGGAGGAGATGTGAGAGGTGAGACACAGCCATCAGGGAGGCCTCCTGGAGGACCTGGAGGTTGAAGTGACCTTGGAGGTTGCATGGGGTTAGAGAGGAAGGAGTTGTTCAGAGAAAGTCCATGTGGAGAGGAGTGAGGGGTTCACAATGTTGGGAGAGGCCATAAAAGGAAAACCAAGAACTCCAGGGCTTATCCTGCAGGGAGGGAGGGACCTGGCAGGTTTGAAACCCACGGAGCCGCCATCTTGTTTCTCCAC